TTTTCTCTTGCCACTGTCGGGTAAGGGGTGCCTTTCACCTCCCTTCATGATTCTGAGGCCTCCCCAGCCATGTGGAACTGTGAGTCCAATTAAAACTCTTTTTCTTCTCAGTTTCAGGTATGTCTTTATCAGCAGTTTGAAAATGGAATAATACCTGGGCAAGTGACACAAACAGACACTTCTCAAAAGAATACACACGAATGGCCAGTAAATATATTTTTAAAATGTTTAGCATCACAAATCATCAGAGAAATGCAAATAAAGTTTCTGATTTCTGTCACTCTATGTCCACTTCTCTTGTTGTGAACTTCATAAAAATGGAATCAAATATCATAGATCATTTTTTTGTAACGACTACTTTTGCTATTTGTGAGCTTCATTCACGTAATTGCATCTATCAAGTTTTTGTCATCATATATGTACATATGTATGTACTCATACACATATAGGTATTTCATATCTGAATCAGTCCATTACATTAATAAATGACAGTTTACTAAGTAAATAAATTAGTTTATTAAGTTAATAAGTGACACTATGTATATCTATCTTTCTGTTGATGGAATTTAAATGTTTCCATTATAAATATCTTAAACAAATCTGTTATAAATATCTTTGTACAAGTTATTCTGCTTATATTCTCACAGTTTGATTAATAAAATATGTATAAATAAGTATGCATCACCTTTTTAGCTTCATGGAGCTACAGCTGAATAATAACATTTTATGTATTTAATGTACAACATTCGATGTATTGATGTATTTGGAAAAATGCTCAGCATGATCAAGGTAATTGGTATGCTTATCATCTCAGAGAGTTATCATTTTATGCCTTTAATTTATTGTGTGTGTGTGATAGGAACACCTAAGATCTACTCTTCTGGCAAAAGAAATATTTGTAGTATAATATTCATTAGCATCATCACACTAGTGGGCATTTCATCTCCAGAACTTCTTCAACCTGTGTATCAGTCCCTTCTCAAACTACCATAAAGAACCACCTGGGACTGGGAAATTTATGAATAAAAATGGGTTAGTTGACTCACAGTTCTGCAGCCTTAACAGGAAGCATTACTGAGAGGCATCAGGAAACTTACAATAATTGTGNGGAGGGTGGTCCCAGGATCCAGTCAGTTCCCATCAGACCTTTCCTACAACACTTGGGGATTGAAATTTGACATGAGATTTGGGTGGAAATACAGAGTCAAACCATATCATTCCACCCCTGGCCATCACAAATCTCATGTCCTTCTCACATGGTAAAGTATAATTATCTCTTCTCAACAGTCACCCATTCTTAATCATTTCAGCATTAACACAAAAATCTACAATCTAAAGTCTCCTCTGAGGCAAGATAAGTTTCTTCTGCCTATAAACATGTAAAGTCAAAAACATGTAATATCCATTTGGGAGATATTGGCCATAACAAAAGGGATACGGGCCCCATGCAAGTCCAAACCCCAGCAGGGCAGTCATTAAATTGTAAAGCTCCATGTCTCACATCCAGGACACACTGATGCAAGAGGTGGTCTCCCAAGGCCTGGGAGACCCCACCCTTGTGGTTCTGCAGGATACAGTCCCCATGGCTGCTTTCAGAGGCTGGCATTGCGTTCCTGTGGCTTTTCCAGGCACACTGTGCAAGTTGTTGGTGGAGCTACCATTTCGGGATCTGAAGGATTGTGGCTCTCTTCACACAGATCCCCCAGCCAGTGCCCCAGTGGGAACTCTGTGATAGA